AAATTATTCTACTGTACCTACCTATATAATATAAATATTTAAATAGGTCAACAACACTCAAATAGCCCACGTCAACGGTCGCGTAACTATACAATTAAGTATTATAGTATTAACTATGTATAAAATAGTTAATGGTTTGTAAATAAAAATTTGATACACATAATATGGGTATATAATTAAAAAAAAATTTTTTTATAATATATTTAAATAATGATAAATGTTTAGGTCATCACAGAAACTCGATTCACCTACAAACGTTATAGGTATCTGGTATAGGTACCTACCTAGGATCATAGATCTGAAGACGCCTAAACAAAATATTATAATAGTATTAAACAATATGCATATTGCATACCTACCTAAACCTACGTTATTAATGTATTTGAAGCGAGCTATAGTGGTGAAGTCGACGTTATATAATTTAATATATATGTACCTACTACCTACCACCCGCCACCCGGCCACCGTCAGCTGTAAATCCGAAGTTTGACTGAATTATTGGGTAACCACTACTCTACCCCTGCAATAATAGTGCTAAACGAAACATGGGCAGTATTCGATATAATCGCTAGAAGTTTACAATAGTTTTATTACACACAGCCGGGTCTTGTCATAATAAACCCCCCAAAGTGTAACTTGCAGTGTTTTTAAGATTACCCAACTATAGTTTACGTAATACATACAGGCATTTATATAATCAAACAGTTTGAATTCATTCATATTTATATATTACATATAAGTTCATATATATAGTAGGTATCTACCTACTGTAGTACTATCACATAACAAAAACAATAATAGGTAGATTTTAGATTTTTATGCGCGTACGATGAAACAAAATATAGTGCATATTAAATCAGTTAAATTTGTTGGGTTACTTACACTTTTCTGTTTCACTAAGCGAAGGAAAAACAACCGTGTTTTATTATCACAATTATTATCTMTGTTCAGTTGTTTTGGTTGAAATAATGTTTATGTAAATTTGACATACTGTATAACTTACTTTATATTGAAATTTTGAAATTGATTTAATCAAAAAATGTACCAGTTTAAACATTTAAAATATTATTAATTTCATTCATATTTTTTTCTCCGCTTTAAATTGATACTACAGTTTAATATCAAACCATTTAAACTTCCTTTGATGTTTCACCTACGTAAATAGCATAATATGAATACCCAGTGTCAAGCATTTACAATTATAAATTGCATGCATTTTGACTGATGTGTTAATTAAAAATTTTAATGAAACTTTTTTTAAATATACATATCAACATATTATATTCGTATATAATATAATGTATACATTAGGTATATTATACAAAAGTATTGTATCGTTATCGTTATAATGCTATATTATATTATCATATTAAATATTATATAAATACCTATAAATATTGTTTACAAATTATCGTGTTTAATCAATGTTATTATAGGCTGAACAGTGAGCAGCTGTATTTTATTTTTGGAGGGGGGTCAAAAGTTAAATATTCTCAACATTTTTCTAAATAATCGGGATAAACAAACTAAAAATTAAGGGGAAAACGGGAAATTTTACGCACAATCAGTTTTCGACAAAATCGATTTTGGTTTTTGATGTATACATAATATTAAAACAAATGACAATTTTCACCATTTTCACCGAATGTGTATATAAGTATATTCTATCCACCATGCAATTTTTATTAAAATATCGACTTAGCTGAACTATTTTTAGGCATATGCAATTTTCGATTATTATTATTATTTTTTTTTAATTAATATCGATCAAAATGTATTTGTTGTGCAGAAAAGCTCGACAATTTAATACAAGGCTTTTAACATATTGTTACAATAGCAGTTGAAAAATAAAAAAAATTCGTAGCCACAACTTTTTTTTTATAAGCGTTCAAAGTTTGAATCTTGACAAAATACATAAAYATCACAAAAATTCGCAAATTATTTTAAGCTAGAAATTCATAACATTTTTTAATCTTWAAGGTTTTTAAGGGGGCATGAAGTCTCTAGCCATAGTAATTATTAATTTATTATTAATACAAAGTATTTTATTTTCATTAATATTTTGAATTTGATTTTTGATCAGCTATATTTTTTGAAATARCAAATTAATTTATAAATTAAAGAACAGTAGGTATTGTCCAGTGTAAAGTAAATACCTTGATTTGGTAGGTAGTTAGTTTATACCTACATTAATACCACGTGTGAGTGTTAAATCTATTTTACTAATTGTTTTTTGTGAATTTAGTGTAACCATAACATAAATATTTCAGTAATTAGATACAATTATCATCGCGCATAGACGTCACTAGTCTTATACATGTCATTCACATACAGTGTCGTTATGAGTTTATGACAATTAATTTTTTTGTTGTACGATCATACACTCAACTGCTATAATGCTTTGAATGTACGTACCGGCCTGTGTTGCTAGCTACCGGCTGGGTGATCAATGACCATCCAGGTTTTTAGCTACAAATCTTTGTCACATATAATACAACACTGGTTTCAAACTAACCGTCCCCCACTACAAACAACTAATGGCTATAGTTCCCTAAATTATGTCAATAATAAAAAATAAAAAACTATTATTTCTAATATATGTATAATGTATATGTTCAAAATACCTACATAAATTATAATTACTATGTAATGGGAACCAAAATTAAATTATAAGTAATGACTAGATAATCTACAATATTTATTTAAAGTAGAATTAATAAGCAGCAAATGTTCTATATTTATCTATATAAATTGGTAGGCTGTCACACATCGTAGATACTATGCTAGAAGATTCACATATTAACGATTAATCTATTCACTATTAAATTAAGACATGCTATAAACTATACTATAGATGACGTAAATCATCACTTCAGTCGTCATTAAATTTATCTAAAATTATTATTATGCTATTTTTTCGATTAAATTCTCAGCATATATGTTACTGTTAAAGATACAAATTAAGGTATTGGTGGAATAGTGAATAACGATATTTCCGATAAAATTAGACTGTGGTAGAGGGGACGAGGCGTAGAATTTAAATTATACATAATTATAACTATTATTATAAGTTATAAATCATATTATTTTCCTTCTCAAGTAAAATAATCTTAACAATTGTCTCATCGGTTGCCATTAATACTGTTTTCATGTAAAAAGGTTAGATAAAAAGGTAAGCCGAGTGCAATAATTAAGTCACGACACTCYTCGAATTCATTCAGCGAGAGGTAGAAACGATCTATGGAGATTACAGTTGCCTCGAAGAAGTAGACAAAACTACAGAAATGATTAAATTTTATATACCTATAACTACATACTTTTCTGCCCTATCCTATTTCATAGATTTAGGAGTAATGCATAAGTACCTTGTATTCGTTGAATATAACTCAGTTTTTAAACCTTCTGTTACACCTCTTAGACATAGTATTTTAACTATTTTAATTATTTATTCTAATTATCAGACATATTATGTACTATTGCCACAAACTATGAATAATTATGAAATGTTATTATTATTATAATTATTATTCGATAAACATTATTGAACAAGCACGTTTATACACTTGAATACGACATGATGCTGTCATAATGATCATCGTATGGAATTGATAATGGTTCAATTTTTGCTTTTTTACATCAAATATCCCTCAATTCAATCATCCTACATAGACTATATTATACAATATAACATAATCAAATATATTTTCATATTAAATTTATGGTACCTAGTATATTTCTACATTTAAATTTTTAAACCAGATTCAAATAGTTGAAAACATCAACTGCCAACTAATTTTCATCAATAATTTCACTGTAATATATCTATTATAACTAGTTATAAAAAAAATCGAAAGCCATCAATATATTTCAATGATTATTTTAATTAAAATATTAAATTATGGGAAGTAGTTAATAATTTAATCTGTTAACAGCAATTTATTGTATTAATTTGTATTAAAAAAACAACAATACAGATTATCTTAAATCTTATTATATACTATTTAWAATTTTCCACTTAAAAATATTGTRGTCATGGTACATTTAAAAAATAATTTCTAAATAAGGTTTGTGAATTTACATATTTTACATATTTTACAATGCCTAGTTACTTTTCTACACACTTAAGTGTGTTAATTAACTTGTTTTACAATAACTTTTGTGTTACACAAATTACTTAATTTATTATGTTAAAGTGTAAAGCATTTTTCACACTCGAGTATTAAATACTATAATATTTATTACCTATATATTATCATGTATATCTATATACACACCACTAACTTTTATTAAGTAATATTTTTTTAAACTGTAATTGTTATTAACCAATTCCCCACCATTATGATATTGCGAAAATGTGAAGTGTTATCATTTTTTATGGCATTCAAACTACTATTATAAAAATGCTTAGTCTKTAATACGCTATTTATTGATCGCAGGTAAACTGATGAGTGCCTACCTACATTTTATTTAAGATATATTAAACCGAAATGATACATTTAAATTATACTAATTTATTATCTAAAAATCAATTACAGAATCATTTTAATTACTTTTAATTTTTAATGAAACACAAATTTAAAATTCTAAAAATAAAAATATTCTAGTGGATAGGTATCAATACTAATTTTTTTTAAATAGTTATGGTACATTTTTGAAAACAATAAAAATGACGGATATCGATGTGAAACAGGCAGATCAAGTTGATTCTCAAGAAATGAATTCCACTCAAAAAGGTTAGTAAATAACATTATAAATTATGTATGTAGTTTAAACAGCGGTYATCAATATCTCAAATGATTTTATGTCAATAATAAATTAAAAAACTCAAATTAAAAATCATCAATTTATTTTCATTACTKCTTACCGGGAGATATTTATAGAACTAGTTATTTTCATTTTTTTTTAAATAAAATATGCAGTGGCTATAACTCTGAATTATAAAACATTTCCATCAGAATTTTTTTACTCATAAAACTGATGAAATACAAAGCTACAACTTTTGGCTTGATTGAGTTRAGATATAGGTACCCACCTAATACAATATGAAATAGGGTAAGTATATTGTARTTATGAAAACGTATTTACGATTGATATTTAAACTATTATGTAACATTGATTTGAACAAAAAAATAAAATGCAGTTTATTTTTTCAATCATTTAATCAAATCGTCATGTGGAGTAATTCTTAAAGTTATAATATTAATTCCAAAACAGTCATAAAATGCAGCCAGATCAGAAAWATATTATAAGCAAYATTTACTTTATTGGACATTTTTTTTAAACTACCCTATCTATTTTGTATACTTTTTCCTTGTACCGGGATGGTATAGGTCGTATTTGTTCTGTTCTCAATAACTAAATTAATCTTTGGATCGTTGGAAATAAGGAAATATTATTAAATATTCATGTAACAATCATATTTTAGATTAATTCATTAAACTTGTAAAACGCATACCTATATACACTATTAATAGTTATACATAATTATATAATCAACGGTTCTCAAATTTTTTTTGGCCTATATAAAATTTTACGATAGCATGGCGTTCCTGCATAGATACCGCGGTCTTTGAGAACCACTGATGCAAATAATTATAAAAATATTAATTAATATTAAAAAAAGTAAAATGATACTATTACTAATAACAATGTTAACAATACACATCGTGAAAGATAATAATATTAAGTACCTATTCTAAATTTCTAAATAAATTAAAAATTATACTACCAGCGACCTAGGATAATGTGAGATTTGGGTTATGTTTTTTAAATTCAAGTTAAATATTACATTGGTGGTATAATATTATATACAATATATTAACATGCAATAGTTGTAAATAATACAAGCATTTTTAGATTTTAATAATATGATAACAAAAACGAAATAAATATGTTTACTAATATCAAACAAGCAAAACAAATAAATCGATTAACAAAATATTACACGAATAATTTATTAATGAATGTCAATAAAAACGGTAATATTCATGTCGTAATAGATAAATATAATACATAAATGAATAATTAAAATAATAAATTGAGATTTCTATATCATCTTATATCGTGTAGTCAAATTATAGATATTTAAAGACAGCTAGTGTRGACAAAATAGACGAATAGTACCTACTTTCCATCCTGAAAATGAACAAAAATCTTTATAAATAAAATATGATTACTAAGTACATAAATATTTAATAATCAGTAGCGTAGCTAGTGAGTAAGCTTGGTAGGCCTTTTATCATATTGAATGTGTAGTTTATATATGCCTATAGTATATGTGTTTAAAAGTAATAGAAWTAACATATTGTAAATACGTATTCGATTAATTTCTAAAAATAACGAGACTGTATTATAAGTTGTGGTCAGATAGATACACTTGCGAGTTGCGATTGTCGATTAGTTTAATACTAATCAAACTGCGTGCGCCTTTAGTACAACGTAGTGATTATATTTTACTCTTATTTTTACTTARTCTGCAGTGTCACTCATTTTCAAAAAATGAAACGGTTTATACTTTCGAGTCATACCTGCAGGTTCATTTACATTTTTAGACAGTRAAATAATTTGTTGTTATGCTGAAATATTTCCATCTTATAAATTAAATGAATTTATCACCAATGATTTAAGCGCCAATKTCAACTGGACAAAACCTTATTTTTATCTGTATCTGATCATTTTGCATTATACCAAGAAGTAAAAAATAAAAAGTTGGATTTGAAGAATTAACAAAAATAATTGAAAATGTTTTGATAGTTCCAGTATCTAGTACCTCATCTGAAAGGAGTTTTTCGACTTCGAGAAGAGTGAAAATGTATTTAAGATCAACGATAACAAGTTGCAAACTRAATGAGAGAGAAAAAAGTAAAAAATTCATAAAAAACTCCATCTGCTGTAATAGACGAATTTGCGTCGATGAAAAAAGAAAATTGGAATTTTCAATTTAAAAATATTTTAGTAAAGCTATATATTTTTTATAAATTTTATTTTATACTATTATAGTATTAAAATTTAAAATAAATCCATATAATATGTCTATAATAAATATATAACATATCTGCGGTATTCTGAAACTTTTTTATTTTATAAGAATTTTCATTGGTAATCCTTACATAAAAACATCGGGATTACCCAGAAAAAAGTATCTAGTTACGCCACTGTTAATAATGTGCCCTAAATCAGTTAGGAAACATAGTTTCTTACGGGAGAGTCTGCGATTGCGCCAATCTGTAATCTGGAAAGACCATAAGCACAATTGGGGGAAGGGGTGAGCAACCCCCTCCCACCACCCTCAAAACCTTTATATATCTCTGGGAGCAATGGAACATATCCACAGTACATACATGTAAATTATAATAGTCCTCCAAATTTAAAACTCACCTATCAAATTACCTTACCTTTAAATTTCACCTATGGTAACGACCACGATGATTTTATGTTATAATACTAATAATAATAATCTCGTTATCGTTTCACTCGGCACGTCATGCAGTCGGCTCGTACGGGATAGGGTGCCGGCACCTGCAGAGCCTGCTGCTGTTCCTGTGCGTGATGAACGGATACTTTATCCGGGTTAACCTGTCTGTCACCATCGTGGCCATGAATCCCGTGATCAAYTCGACGGACTACATACAGGAGCTGGCCGACCACGTGCCAATATTCGGGTGGACCAACTCGATGCGGTCGGTGATGCTGAGCACGTTTTTCATCGGCTACCTGTTTGCCAACTTTCCGGCGTCCGTGCTCGGATGCCGATTCAACAACAAGATGCTGCTGGCGTGCAGYATGATCGTCTCGTCCTTGCTGTCCATCATCAGCCCACCGGTGGTATACGCGTACGGCGCCTACGCCCTGGTGGCCGTCCGTTTCGTGCAGGGCCTGTCTTCGGCGTTCATGTTCCCCGTGATACACGGCATCATGTCCAAGTGGGCGCCGCCGCACGAGCGAGGCAAGCTGGTCGGGTTCATCGTCAGTGGCGTACAGCTGGGCACCATGATCACGCTGGCCGTCTCTGGTGTGCTGTGCAGCAGCTCGATGGGCTGGCCATCCGTCTACTACCTGAGCGGCGCGTTCGGGCTGGCGTGGACGGCCGTCTGGCTACTGCTGGGCGCCGAGTCGCTGTCCACGCACCGGTTCATCAGCCAGGCCGAGAAGGAGTACATCCAGAGGTCGCTCTCAAACACCATCAGCCACGATAAACGGGTGATCATAATATTATTTATTAAATTCCGATGTAGTCGAAAATATAATAAAAACCAGCGGACCTCAACTCACTAAAAAAACATCAGAAGTATAAAATATGTTCTGCATGTTTTGGAATAAAATATCAATATATGTATAAAAATTATCCTAAAAGTTTCGATGGATATATGATGAATTTTTCGAATACTCACTTAGAGGCAGATTTCGGTAGAATGTTGCAATTGCTTTGTAGTAATTTTCATGTTCTACTTTTCACAGTTATCGAAAAAACGAAAAAACTGTTTTTGTGTAGTCATTTCAAAAATTAATAACTAAAGAAACCGGYGATTTTTACTGAATATATTAATAATKAAATTTTCTAAAATGGTATAATTTTAAGATTAAATTGGCTCTTTTCGAGTTGGTCGTGAACTGGTTTGAATTATCTAGTTCTTATTAAAATTTCGGAAGTAAAATTGTTGTTTATGAGTAAAAGAGCTTGAAACTTGGTTTATAGATATTTTTACAGCTATTAAAAAATATCTTATACATATTATATATAGTCATAATTTATTTGTTGGTATTWAAATTGCAAATCTTGACTCAAAATTATTTTATAGTCTTAAGGCTCTCAGAATCGTTTCTTGTATTCAATAATTTATCAATTAAATTCAACATATCCGTATCAGTAATTTACTCAATGAGGAATAACACTCAACTTACTTCTTACTCAACTACCACRGATTTTATGTAGGTATTGAGATTTTGAAAAAATATGAAATAATGCAAAATTAAAAAAAAAAGATATCCATATATATACTAATATTATGTTAATATCAAAAGAATTATTCCGGTAAACCACACAGTTTACGACAAATTAAATACTTTAATTTTAAAATTTTTCATTTTTATTCAATATGACTCTTGTGTACATTATAAACAAATATTGTTTAAAATCAATAAATCAAATATTTGTGATATTATATAATATACACACATACCTATTTGAAAAAAATATAGAACAATAAAGATATTGAAATAATAATATAACAACATTAACATTTTTTTTTTTAAATTGTCCATCAATTAAATAAATAAATATTAATAAATAAAACCAAAAACATTTTGTAATTATCAACTATTTTTTTAAATTAAAATAATCATATATTTACTCATAGTATATGTTCGATAATAATAAAATTAATAAATATTTGCAATTTCTTATGGGGTGTTAATGAAATGGTGAACAACGTATATGATAAAACTAATAACTAATAAGTTATAAATTATAACTATCAATATAAATTATAATTAAGCTCTTCAATGTTAATGTATTCTTACTATGCTTGTATAATAATTCCTCAAGGATTTCATCAACAAAGAATTAGCAAGGGTTCCATTGCTTAAACATATTAAGAATATAGGTACCTATAAATTATAATATCGTATACAATTGAGTAAAATAGTTACACTAGATTAATATTACTTTATTGATTTTAAAATTAATAACTTCATCAATGACGGKTTTTAACTATAGATAACGTTATCACATCGTAAAAATGTAATTAAATATTAAGTCTGGGATTTAGATTACTCAAAATTAAATCTCACCAACATTATACCCACGTATAAATAATGAAAAGTAAAAGATCATATCATCATCGGGTAGCAGGTAGTCGAAAACCACATTTTGCCACTTCCAGATAGTTAAATAAATTAAATTCCATASACCATTATACAAAATAATACTTAATTAAGATGAATATGAATTTAAAAAAAATAAAWTTTATACGTTAATACGTTAATACGTTATTGCTTAAAATCGGTGAAATTTAAAATATCGCATTCATTCCTTGCCAAAATGTATCAGTATCAGTCTTCTTTATAGTTTTTTGTAATATTACGTAATCATAGATTATAATAAATAATAGTTAATACTATAAATACTATACTACGCTAATTGTTTTCAGTGAAGTGCAAAAATAAATTAAAACTTGCAATATAAAACATTCTACAACCAAATATTTATAGTAGATATTAATGAATAAATAATTTTAAGCTTCGAGCATATAAATAGTGTAGGTATATTACTTATTTTTTTTAGAAAAATATTCATAAGCATAAAAATATTTAATTTCCTAGAAGACATTTCATCAACATTTTATGTTTAAGTACGTTATACATAATAGTTATTGTAATAACCCTAGCACCTACATTGTTGTGTAGGATTAACATAAATCTGATACAATTATATTGCAATGTTATACCTAATACTATTTATTTATTATTATTATTATTATTAGTGGTAACATAGGCCATTTGGTGTTGGGGTAAAACAGTAGGGCTTATTTTTTGTGAATTTGTTTATAGGTTTTTTAGTTGGTAGGTTGTAACACGTATTTTGTGTATGTCACCCAGTGGTCACCCATCCGGGAGCTAGCGGCCAATACGTACGCTCAATGCGTTTCCGCAGATTGAGTGTACGACCGCGCCTCATCAAGCCACAGTATCTAATACTATTATATCATAAACTAATTCGAAAGCCTAAGAGCACTGTAAATGTTTATCCAACAATAAAGAGGTATATTTATTTTATTTTATTTTAATTTTTGTGATATTTTTAATCAGACAGAATATTGATTTAGTTTATATTTTATGACTTCCATACACCAAAAGCAGAAAAACAGTATGTATTAGATAATAATGGTGAGCTTATGCCCACAAATAGTCAACAAATAATAAAGATGATATACGTACCTAGTCGTCTATTGTGAGTTGAGGTTTTTTGTATTTTCTTCTATTATAAATTAATATTATTTCTTTATTATAATATCACTATACAATGAGTTAAATTTTATAATTTAGTAAGTAATTTAATACTTTTACATCTAATAGAGTAATAGATATTGCATAATTAAACGAATTACATTGTTTGTATTATGTACGAATGATTGAACGACAATAATGCGATGTAAGTATCTAAATGATTGGAAAATCATTAGTACTAATGATTTTCCAATCATTAAATATTCACACTTTGTAAAATAAACATATATTACAAAGTGTGAATATTTAATGATTGGAAAATCATTAGAGGACTTTCAAAACATTATAATATGTATCTATGTTATATAAAAATACAATAAAATGAAGAAAATATTATGATAAGTTGAAAAAACAATCTGAAACTAAATCTGAAAATGTATTTATACCTCACCTCTTAGCTTGAGCTTCAATAAAATTATAAATAATAATAAACCGTCTACAGACATAGATAGGTACACTGAAATAATATATTTAATAAAGCAATACAAATATTATAGCTTTCAAAAATCTCACTATCTAAATATACCAGTTGAAAATATGACACAGATTAATCTACAGATGACTTAAAAAATAAATAAATTCTTGAAATTATTATTAGTATTTACTATTATTTAAAGTTACAGAATAGAAATATCAAAGCTTTTTAGGTATGTATAATACATATTCTAAGTGCGAATTCAAAACTTATTATAGGTTTAATTTCAAAATTCCCTCTGTATTTTTCATTATATTATAATTTTCCGTGATCGCACGCAACTCTTTCTCGGTAAAACCGTAATATATACGCACATGCGACCACCGTGACTCCAATGCACATACATATCATGTTAAAAATCTAGTTTAATTTAATTTGTAGTGCCAAAATCGTAAAAAAATGACAAACTGATTTGTTTAATTTGTGATCAGTTATCAGATACTCCGTGGAAATCAATATTTACGTCATTGCCGGTGTGGGCCACCACCTTAGCGCACATTGGCCATAACTGGGGATTTTGGCTACTGTTGACCGAGATGCCGACATTCATCCACACAGTGCTCAAATTCGATATTAGGAACGACGGGTTACTATCATCGTTGCCATATCTCGCCATGTTTATGCTTCAGATACCGGTCAACTTCATTGCCGATTTTCTGAACAAGCGTGAAATCACCACCCTCACGACTTCCAGAAAAATCTGGAACACAATATCCTTCTGGGGTGGCACAGTCGGCTTAATCGTACTAAGTTTTATCAAAGACACCCAGTTAACGATCATACTTTATGTGTTCATCGTAGCCATAGGATGTTCATCGAACGTTGGGTTCAACATTAATCACATGGATCTATCTCCCAACTACGCCGGGCTCATAATGGGAATCACCAATACAGCCGCATCTATCGGAGGAATCATCGCCCCTCTGTTCGTAGGGGTCGTTGTCGATGATCAGGTAAAAATAGACTCAAATATTACATACATTTCATAAATCTAAGCTAAGCCATTGTCATCTGTATTCTGTACAGTCCATCTACGAGTACCTACCTAGTACTTACAATTCAGTCCCTAAAATATCCAAATTTTCGTACTACACACATAGTCCTAAATCAGTTAAATCTAAATTATAAGTAATACCTACCTATCAATTAATGATAATAATATGTATTTATAATAAATAATTTTATTTAAATAAAGTAGAACYTCTATTTAACAAATTTAAAGGTTCTTTAAAAAAAATGTGTGAAATAGAATTTTGTTGAAAAATAAATGTTTTTTATATTTTTTTGATATTCTGAATTAATATTGTTATATTAAAATTTTATATAATATTATTATAAATGTTATTTTAACACACTTTTAAATTTCATACTACACACAATTTTAGGGACTGTAATACTAATTGTATATAAATGGATAGGTACCGTTATTCTACTTTGTTTTTCAAATTTTATAGAACTGTATTAAATAATAGGCATGTGATAGACGAGTTGTATTTATCATCAACTTTGTATTTTTGTTTATCAACCATCAACCCATTAAACCCAATACTTTTTTTCACTCTTCTGTGTATGTTGGTTTTAAATCAAATAATAATTATTGTATTGTTAATTGTTATATTGATTATTATTGTTGTATTAGACTTCAGTTTCGGAATGGCGAATTGTATTCCTTAGTGGTGCAGTAGTGTTATTCATATCCAATTTGTTTTTCATTATATTCGGCTCGGCTAAGACCCAGCCTTGGAATTCATTGCAAAAAAAAGGTAAATAAAAAAGTTAACTTAATGATTATTGTGATTTTATTGTATCTGAAAATAATATTGATAAAAATCACTAAAGATAACTTTTTAAAATACAGCTAATATATATATATTATAATATATGCTTAGATAGAATGTATACGTATTAATTTATTGCTCATAAATAAATTAATACCAAATACCTATAAGCATAAAAAAATTATTGCAATGTAATAATGTAATATTAATTGTATTTTTTAAATATTTACCACGAGTTTTAACATATTATTAGTTAACTGAATATACAATTTCATATTTTATAGATTTTCCAAAAATAGATGATACTAAACGAGATATTGAAATAGTTGAATAACATAACACGAAAATCATATGCAATGTACTTACCACTTAGTATGTATGATTGATTTGTATCTATATTTAATATTTATAATGATCACATTATCATAACATAAATACCATTTTGATCTATGAAATTAAAATTGTTYCAATGACAAAATTTAATTATATGTTTAAAATTATCACTCCATTTTATTTTGAACCCAATTTAAAATCTACAATTTTTAATAAATACCAAATAATAATTATTTTTTTACAAAATTATAAATGGCATTTTAAAATTCATCTTGTATCATTACCTACTCACATTCTGCTTTTATTATGAATCATACCAGTTATAAAATGATGGAACAAAGTACTATTTAAGACGTTACGGTGAATATTGGAACTGCTTGGAAGATACACACCTCAACCTTCAAAAAAAAAAAGCACCTACATATAATTTTGATTGGGTTTCGAGAGTTTTTAAATACTCGTTCACAAATTTGAGTGTAGGATTAGAGTGATAAACTTACATGAATTAATAACTATATTGTATTAAAGTAATCGCCACGTGATGTTAATGGTATAAAAAACATTGATTATTGGTTGGTAATTATAGAAATGATTGACACTAATACACTATTATAGGTAGGTACTCCCAAAATTCTGATATAAGTATTCCATTATTTTATCTGTTTTGGCTATTAGGTCCTATAAAATTGAAGGATTACAATTTATATATAATCTTTGGTGTGCAACGCTGCMGATTAATAAGTATAATTAATTGTACCTATAGGGTTATATTTCTTATCAATCGAGTGCAAAGCAGCACCTAGACATAGATTAATATTTATTTTTCACACGTGAATACTGAATAGGAAATACATTTCATAATAAATAGATGAAATTCCATCTATTCTGTTTACATTCTATTCAAGTGTGATCTAAAAATATACTATAATTTACAAAGTAAAATACATGCAAATATATAATTAAGGTTTTGATATCATCATCACTGATATTAATAAATAATATTCATACAGAACAATAACTTTAAACTAAAATAGGTATAACAAAATTACAAAATGTACAATAATTTTTGTAATAATTAACAACAAAAACAGAAAAAATATTCAAATTTAATTCAAAATTTGAGAGATAACGGATTAAAATGTAATTATTATAGTTTACCATACCCACAGCCTGCACAACTGAATATGACCATATTATGATAACTTGTATAACTTTGATAAATTATTAAGTTACTTCTAAAATTATGCATACATACTTATTGTATCCATGTATCCAGGCCCCCCAAATCATATTTTTGGACCTGGTACAGAACTAAATCCGGACCCCTCTTAAATAACAATCAATTTTAAAGAATTTTTCTAATATATACCAAGGTAATTATTTGCATCAACGCCGGGCCCCTCGAAAGTCCAAGCCCCAATACCATGGGTCCTTCTGACCCCCCCCCCCTTGTGAGGGGCCCTGCAATTACCTATATTGTATACATCTTTATAAATAATAGTATTTCATAAATATTTAATTATTACGTTTTGAATAAATATAATTTAAATAAAAAATCCGTAATCAATCTATAAACTTTCCATAAGCACCGGTGAGAAATTTCATATAAAAAATTAAAAAGTGTAATTAAATATAAAACTATGTTGTAATAGAAACAGAAAACTGTGGTCTATTCTGATATTTAAACTGAAAAAACTGAATAATTATTTAATGTATTCATTAACGATTATTTAGGTACCTTTCACTTGTTGATCTCAAATGGAAATAGAATAAAAAAATTATAAATGTTTATACCAAATTAAAAACTTTAATTCTATATGAAAAAAAAAATGAGACGGGMCAGAATTACCCGCAGCCTGCAGGTAAATATATTTATTATTTTTAATGTAGAATTAAAGCTTTTAATTTGGTATAAACATTTGAATAATACCAAATCCATTACAATACCATGTCTACTCAATGGAAAGTTACACTCAGCACCTTGTACAGCAGCGGTGACCTCGCCTATACATGCACACTTTTCTCTTTTGAAGTTATCAAAAAATAAATAAATATAACAAAATTATCAAATAATTTTAAAAGAGAGACCGAGCCTAATATTACACACTAATCGTGCGTTTTTTAAATCACTAGAAAAATTATTTTTAATCGTGTTTTGATCATTCCAATTTATTATATTGATAACATGTGTAAGGGATTTAAATCATACTATTTTGGTTTTATACGTGATATTGGACAATCTTGTAACAGATGCATAATAGATATAGACGGTGTTACACTGTGGACAWCTTATCATGAACTGTATCTATATCCATAACTTTTAATTGTGTATCAACTTATATATCATATATATTTTAATAGTAAACTGGATTGCTTGTTTCATCATAATATTGAATTATACAGGTATACCTAGTACAAGTTAATATAATTGAAAATAAGCGTTAGTTGTTAATTGTTATAGGTAAGTCGTAATCGTAAATACCTGTTTTATAAAGTAGCTAAATAAATATACATAGATTGTAGGAAAATCTAGTTTAAAAAATACACATTTTCATTAATACTTATTGAAATAAACATTTATTTAAAAACGTATGTACTTTAATAAATTATATTTATAATCAATATTAGGTTTCTTATATTTAAATTTGTAAATGATTAATAAACATTTGGCTAGGTGTTATAGTGACTAAAAGTATCTATCTAATTTTAAATAATAATTTTTAAATCCAAAATACAATAATTATAATTCACAAATTATTAAACAATATATTTTTAAACCAAAAATAGTAATTTTATTTATCTTGTGATATTTTTAATGGTGGGACATATATAGCAGGTATTATCAGTGATGGTAGATTAATCAAGTCAATGAATATTCGGTATGAATCACTGAAATTAAAAAATAATTAATCAATATAGAGCTAATGGTCCTTCAAAAATTATTTATTAGTCCATTAAATTAATACATTTTTTATGCATCCAGGTATTAGTGTTTACAAATATTTTGAATTTTAAAACTTTTACGTACCTATATTGGCTATAATGTTATATTTTATATACATTTTTAAAACATTTAGATTAATTTTAAACATTTGACACTTTATATCACGAACCTATACTTCATAACTTTCTAAATATAAGTTTTGGTACAAAAGCTTACGTAACTAACTTAGGTACGTAATTACTAATTATAAAATACATAATTATAATGATAATACACCTACTTAGTAATATAGGCAGTAGGCTGACAGATTCAGAATCGTTTTTCACATGTTACCTACTTTTCCCCTTTTTAATAAATAAATATTAATGTATCCTAATTAAAAGTACAAAAAAGTAACTTAATAAAGATTTAATAAACTATAAAACATTAAATAAATTATAGTAAGGTACCAAGTAGGTATACCGATGAAATATTTTATATATTTTATTTTGTTTTAGATATTACTTAAATAAGATGTTTCAGATACTTTCAATAGAAAATAATAAGAAAGGCCGTATCGTTATATCAATGATCGTTACGAATAGAGAACGAAACTATACTTACTAATTTTAGTGTATACTTTTTTTTTAATTCTGAGAGAAAATTAAATTTTCAACATTTTTTAGTTTATTTTCGATGTTTATATGATTAAATGTTTGTTTGTAAGTCTAAAACTTGTACATTTTATAGAATGTTCCTCTGAATTGTTCTTACAAAATTTAAAAAACATCAAAAATACAGTCACAATTTTTTTTATAAATGTTTGAATTTCAAATTGATGGATAGGTACTTATTACTTTTCGTGGATATCATATTATAATATATTCACATACCATAATGTAGATCTTAGATATTCAGAACCACTAGTACCACCCGTGCCGGGATTATATGATCCAATCATCTTGTGAACCATAACGAAATGACTATCTGTAAAATAACTTGGAATTAATTTTGACTGACGACTGTTATACGAAACATTTACGTTCTAGATCATAATATTGTATTATTGCATATTATGAAACATGGCACATGCCTAATATATACTTGTCAGTTAACATATCAAATATTAATACCATTCTATAAAATAATTCAACAACTTTATTTAAATCGAAAACAATTAGGAAATATTTTGCGTATACATTTTAGGGTAAAAAAAATGTAATTTCAGGTAGCTTTAGGTAGGTTCAAAATATGTAGGTATATAAAACAAGAATACAATAATTTAGGTATATTTTATAAAACCACTTACGATTATTGATACTTGATCACATTATCATACATTTATACAGCTTGTATTAGGTATATAGACATATTATATCAGGTATACCTCTATAAATCAAAATTTTAAACATTATAATAATTAAAATAATATTTACATCTCCATTTTGATAAAAGCGTATCGATATCCACCAATGATTCTAGTATTCTGTTGGCCAATGCATATCCTTTTTCATGTCTGTATACATATACTATTATGGCGCCCTTTAACGCCATATGTGAAAACGTTCGGTTTCCCTGTTCGACTAAGCGTTTGTGCTGGTCACATTTAAATACAGAGTCCATAAGCTTACGACGTTTCTCCAGGCAAGATATATCAGACTAAATTAAATTAAAAATTGACAAACGTATAGAATCTTTAAGTAATCTATTTTATAAGTTCATGTGCACCTATTGCTAAAATAATAAACTACACACATTGTGTAAAGTTTCATATTACCTAGTTTTATATTATATTTAAATTCTAGTAAATAAATTGTGAATTCGCTTAAGAGGACGACATTTATCCGTATATATTGTTTTTGTATAAAAAAAACTATCGAGATGGAAAGAATACTAGGTAATCCGAGCTATATACATGGTCCTATCGTTAAGAAACCAAATTTTTATCATTAAAAAAAGAGAACATTAACTGTGCTGTAATACTTGCATAAGCAATATTTTTATTTTGTAAGGTTGATATTAAAAATAAAYTGTATTGTATAGACGAGATAGTTTTTTTATTTATATAGTGAAAATATGGAAGCTTAAAAAATGTGCACTTTATTATATTTTAATCTACGCAACAAATACACCAACCGCAATCATTCTAGTAACTAAACTATTACTCGAATTTGAAATAAAAAACTGGTTAACAACCACTATATTTGTTATTAATACGATATTGGTTAGGACGACTACGAATTGGTTCRCGAGTAGTTATATACAGGTAACATATTATGAATTGGTTCCCACAAGTTTTCATGATGATGCAACCTTGTGAAATTCGCTTTTCTAATTATTATGATATATTCAACCAGAAACAATTTCCTTCCCATTTATTCAGACTTAGGACTGATTAGAATTCAAATAAGTTTGAATCTTCAAACACTATTTAGAATACCTAGGTATGGTTAAAAATGGTGTCTAGTATAATATACATATTAATACATACATAATATACAATACATATGTATTTTTCWATAATAATAATTATTCTTATATGAATAAGTCATAATATAGGTRCCTAAATAATATTAGAAAACAAAATTGTGTGGTATGAATTTACAACACACACTGTTTAACGAACTATAGGTTCGAAATTTGGGCCTCTTTCAATTTTTTAATATTTTCATCAATAAACTTTTTATTTTCAGTAATTTTTTWTTTYATTTTAATTTAATTAACAAATCTGCGATCAATTAGATATTAAATTATATTTATAAGCTTTCCCAGACATCGTAAAACCTTATAAAMTATTATAAGATAATTGATTGTACATACGAGTGAGTTGTATACTGTTAAACTGATAAGTAATTTTATGCGGGGACAATTCGAACAATAATTGTATACTAGAAAGTATCTTTTTCGGGAACCAATGCGTACACTTTAATTGACCAGGGAACCAATTTTAAGAACGATTGTTGGCAGATCAAAGAAACAATATTTTATACCTTAAAATTAAACGATTGAGAACGATTTTTCGAGCGACTACGTTGTCATTTATCTTAATTTTTAGTAATAATCTTTAGGGCTGGGATTTCGATGCAAGGGCATAGGGCATCTTTTTTTTGTGTTTTGAACTGTTGCTGATTAAAACTGATTTTTTTTTGTATTTCATCTTGACAAAATTTACCTTAAATTTGTTTATAAAATGAACGAAAATTTTTGCAATTAACAAAAGACTTTCGGCATGTTTGCTTTTAATTTTGGATTTTTTTTAATTTTCAATCTTAAAATGACAAATAAAAATATATATATGTTGTAAATAAATATTAATTTTTAAATTTTAATCTTGAAAAATGCCTTAAGCTGATAAATGTATTGATTTTACAATGATGTGTGTGCTTATTTTTATATTTATCAAATTTAATTTCACGTAAGTTTATTCTGTAACCAAAACTCAAAGAAATATAGTAATTGATATCTATTATAATATATATTGTGTATTTTAGCTAGATTCTGAGCGGAGCAATGAATGTATAGATTTTACCATGATGTGTTTTTTTTTGTGTCTGTCATCCCGTTTTGGGGCAGTAAAAKTGCTTCGATTTTTGACTTCAGTACCTTGTTCGATCAGAAAGGGAATCTAGATGGTACTTTGGGGGGGTCAAAAGTAAAATATTCTAATATTTTTCTAAACAAACTAAAAATTAAGGGAAAAACGGGAAATTTTACGCACAATCAGTTTCGATAAAATCGATTTTGGTTTTTGATATAACTTTAAAACAAATGACCATAGATACATGAAATTTCGACTTAAGTTGAACTATTCATAGGCATTTGCAATTTTCGATCATTATTAGTTTTTTTWAAATTAATATCGATAAAAATGTATTTGTTAGACAGAAAAGCTTGAAAATTAAATACAAGGCTCCTAACATATTTTTACAATAGCAGTTAACAAATAAAAGAAATTCATAGGTAATATCATCATTAATATGTAATAATTTCAACCACTAGTGTAGTAATCATACACTATAGAAACGTTTTTAATTTTTGAAAAAAATATAATTTTGTATTTATTGCTCATAATATATCTCAATAATAAAAAAAATTATAATAAAAGGATTTAGAAAGACGTGTCAATGATGATTAATGCAGAGTAAATTWAAAAAACACCCTTTTGTAGCTCAGGTACCCAGATGACAGATGGCCTACCAATTTAAAAATATAATTTTTGTATTATTATAAGGACATACCTCAGTTGATCCTTCTAACCAGTGATCCGCAGCTCTTCGATACTGATCCCACACGATATTATCTTTTAACATAGGAGTAGATTCGAGCCAATGACAAACTAAAGTGAATAAGCTAGGTTCAGCAGAAATACGTTCRAGTTCATCATATTTCTTAGCATTAAAGCAGTCAGTATACGATTTACAACAATTGACACGGTTTTCCTTAACATTCGCAAACAAATAAAATTGATTAAATGGAATTAAAAATTCATATTTTAAGATATTTGCACGTTAACGCTAGGTTAAGTATTTTTACTAAAAATTCGTATGGTTTTTACTCTTTTATAATACAACATTTATTCATAACAATAACTTTGTACCTATCATATATTTATGTGTGATAAATAATTCAATTTATTGGATATGTTGTAAATTGTTTAGTTATATAAATAAAATTTATATTTTATGAATATTTTACCTTCTTTAATCCTAATTTATTTTCAATCATGCGGAATTGAAGGCTCTGGAACCCTGATGCTGGTTTTAGGTAGTCACGAAATTCCGCGAAATCGTAAGGAGTCATAGTTTCCAAAACTCCAAAATGTTCCAGTAGTAACTTAATCAAATAAAAATATTGAACCAATTATAAGTTATATTTAAACGTGTGTGAATATAGCATATAATTATATAACTAATCAAGTACTTTGTAAATTACAATGTTGACATTTGAACTATTTAAGACTTAAGTAAAGAAAACCTTAAAAGTGTATTTTATAAAATGATCCGTATTGTAATATAATATGCAGATACCTACTCATCATTAAAATGTAAAGTTCTTATAATTAAATGTGTTGTATGAAGTGATAGATATTTACATAATATTATTTAGACTACCTTTATTATTTAAGTGTAGCCGTATATACAAGTATAATACTGTAAATACATTAAAAATTTCCTGGGATTATCATTATATTAGGTACTTYAGGATTTATATGCCGTCAAAATCCCCATTAATGTAGGAAACCAMTTTAATTCCATTTGAGACWTACAAAATTAATAATTTTTTTATAATGCACGATAAATTAATTATCCTGGCCATGTTTTATATAACAAAACAAGAAAAATGTTATTTATTGTAAATATGCCTATTTTTTCATTGGTTATTTTAATTTATGATTTTCGTATGTTTAGATGCCTAATTTTTTTCTCAAACAAAATTAATCTCATWGTTTTTTCATTGATTTATTTTATTTATATTTTCGTAGTAATATTTTTTTACTTACAAATAAAGTATATTTGTAATAAATTTGATAAGTATTAATAGATAAATAAATAATCKGGATAGTACGAAAGATAAAATTTGTTGTACGGATATTTATACAAGCTTACCTTGATAATAGATGAAATCCTACCTAAACGCTTTAAGATATTGAACATTTCCTTCTCGTTATTCTGAAAAGTTAGTCAAACAATTTAGTTAACATTTTATATATTTTATAATTTATTAAGTAAAAAAATAATAATTTTGACATCGAGGTTATACCTAAGCTAAGTTATACAAAACTTTACAACGTTATACATACCCAAAGGTTAGTAGATAATAATTTACAAACAATATCCATTTCGAATAAAATTTGCTTGAACCACAACTCGTAAGCTGAAATTAGTACAATTTTTACGCAATTAAAAAATAAGTTGTAAAAACGTTTGGTTAATTTATCATTTATGAAAACAAATAAATATTTTTAGTATTATTTTTTTATTTTCTAAATAGCAACATACATTCCTATTTTCATATTTMTAAATCCTAAGTGGAATATTGTTTCTGTAATACAAACATTGAGTTTTACAAAACGAATAGTTTATAAATCGTACCTAATCTATWACTAAATTTATAGTAATTTAAGTGTAGATTAGTAGAGTATTAGTCAGTATTGGACATAGGTGCCGACTAAGTACATAATGTAAGTAATATTTTACGGTTATTGTTAAGAATTAGATAATTCCTACTGCTAATAATTTTTTCATATTTGAACATTTAATATATTATCTATAATACATATAGTAGGTATTATAGACCATCATTCTTATAAGTACGCAGAGAATTTAAGTAACAACTTAATTAATAATAGCTTATATTTTTTAGGTAAATGATAACCTATCATAATTTAGTAAAATCCCAAAGTTACTAGTTTTTTTTTGAAATTGAATGAAAACAAAATAATAAAAGTTATAAGTATAATACTACAGTTTTTAAGATTTTTATTTTATAAATAAATATAAAATAATATAAGCTCTAGATTTTATTTTATTGTAATTTGTTGAGTATTTTAATTGAAGAAATCTTCTATAAGAAATTATGTAAAAGTGTCTAATATAAACTTTGATCACCTTGATGAGTCACTATGAAGAGATGCTCGTCGTACGAAACTCTGCCGTTTAACGTACTTAACATTGTTTGAGAATCTAAAAGTTTATCAAGTTGTAGATAATCTGCATAACCGTTGGCYGCGGTAACATTCTGTTTACATTTTCTGCCGAGACAATGCAAATAAATTAATTKTGAATAACAGCGAGCGAATAAGTATAGGCACCTTTAGGCTTTATTTTACATAAATAACACACTTACTTATTTTGTTGATCATTTATTCTATCTTTACCGTTCATACAACTCATTTTTCGATAAATAYGTTCACTTCTATGTTTACTAAAAACGATTGGTAGGTGTATACAACGTAAATGGCGCCGTACTCCTATATAATGCTTTGAATTATTCTGCATACAATATTAATCGTGGACTTGTGATTTGTTCTTATAAAGAACAGTATATGAACTAAACGACGTGTTGTCTACTGATTAAYAGAATTCGTATAGGTTTACTCGATTTAGCAGTTAAATGTGTAATGTAGAATATGGCGAAAACCTACAGGCAGGGTAAAGCTTATAGCAAAACCATCCAAGTAATCTAATATCTTTTTCAAGGCAATAGTTGCGCATGAAAGTCTGAAAGGATTGAGTTATATTKCTACCATAATAAATTGTTACATAATAAGTTCATAGGCCTTCGTTATAATTGTACAGATAGTTTACATAAGAGCTTATTACGTATAGTTAACCATTTTGTGATCAGACATTGTATGCATTTCAAAAACATTTCGACAATAAATCATTATAATTAAGTACGCACGTGTATAATCCGTAACACTGTATGCCTATAATGGATATATATTTTGATCCTGMGCATAGCATAGAATGTATTGGTTTTACAATAATGTGTGTTTATTTTTTAATTAACATTTTTTGTCTTTAAAGAATTTTTGAAACAAAAAAAAATCTATTTTCTTTTAATTCAAAAGTTAATAACTGTATACCACGTGATTCTTTAAAGTATCTAAATTCTTTATTTATTTAACATT